CTTGGAGCGCCCGGAGCCCAATGTGTGGTAGTAGCTAGTCATTGGACAACTTACACAGAACTCAGTTCTTAAGGACGGTCCCAATGAGATAACCCACCATGTACTTCTACATGGCCTCTCACCGCAACCTTTACTAAATCGTGTTCACACGCTTAACTCTCATTACCAGAACATATCATAACATTCCAATTCATTCCCGATGAATCAGACCTGGCACAACTTTAAGCAATAGCAGGCATGGCATGGTAGGAACACAACATGGCTCAAACAACTCCTACACGTGCTAGTGGGTTTTAACTATTTACTGTGGCAATGACAGGTCATGCAGAGGAATGGGTTCAACTACCGCAGCATAAAGTACCAGTTGAATCGTTGTTGTCCTAATGCAATAAATGAGAGCAGGAGCAAAGAGAGTAGGATTTTATCGGAATGAACAAGGGGGGGGGGGTAGCTTGCCTGGTAGATCAACAGGGGGCACTACTCCTCAGACAGGTACTCTCGAACACTCTCCGAAGCAGGACCTATCGAGAAGGAACGGTGTCGGAAATCAAACACAAGCATATGCAACATTATGATGCATGAACATGGCATGAGTATGTGATGTTGTTTGAGTTAATGCATCTAGCATTTATTTGGTTGAAGTCCATTTGAACCAAGGGTTCAAATACAACTCCAAATTAAGTTCTTAAATATGCCATAAGTGTGTTTTCATATATACAGCATGTATAGATGGTTTTTCATGCATGGAAATGGTACAGATGGATAGATTGAATTTTTCTGATAATTTTTCATATATAAATTATTTCAATCTGAGCTACGGTTGAATTTCTATGAATTTTTGAAGTTTATATCAATTTCTGGAATTCTCTGAATTATTTAAAATATAGAAAAATCATTATTGCGTCAGCATGACATCACAAAGGCGTCAGCAAGGCTGACCAGGTCAAACCTGATGTGTGGGGGCCACACGTCAGTGACCGGTTAGTTAACAGGGGGTTAGTTTATCCTAATTATAGGATTAGTGGCGCAGGGGCCCACTGTCAGTGTCAGGTTTAGTTAAATGGTGATTAGCCTTAAGCTAATCACCTGACCCATGGGGCCCACCTGACGGGCCCGCGAGGTCAAAGGGGTCAAACCCCACCGGCATTTAACCACCGGCGAGGCTGAACACGGCGGAGGGCTCGGGAAACGCCCTCCGGCGACCATTTAGGCGGCGGAGATCACGGACGAGGAGCTGGAGCTCGTCCGCGTCGTTTGGAGCAAGCGGGAGGCTGCGGGGGTGCCTGAGCTCGCCGAAAACGAGCTCGAGGCGGCGGCCGGAGCACGGCTTCGGGCGAAAAACAGGCTGCGGGGCACGACAGGAACTGCGGAGGCCCTCTACGGCCTCCTGGCGTCACCAAGAGCACAGTGACGCGCGCGGGAGCGGCTGGCTCGGCCTCTGGCCATGATGGCGCCATGGCCGGCGGCGATGAGGTCTCGGGCGCGGCAGCTGAGCTAGCTAGGCGGGGCAAACGAGCACGGGGAGGAGAGGAGAACGAAGTAGAGCTTACGGGGAGATCATAGACATCATCAGCGAGCTTGGGGACGCGCTGAGGTCGACAGTGCGGCGATGGGGATCCACGGCGGCCGGAGATGAAGACGATGACGATGGAGGCGCTCCAGGGCCTCCCGAGGCGCGTGGCTCGACGAGGAGGTAGACGCAGACGTGGCGGAGCTTCTGGACACAACAGCAAGGCGAGGGGAAGTCGGTGGCTACGGCAATGGCGAGCGGCGGCGACGGCAGCGCTCGGGCGGGTCGAGAGAGAGGGATCCAGGGGAGGAGGGAGAGCGAGAGAGAGTGAGAGAGAGTCGAGGGAAGTGCGTGGCGTCGTCGGGGGCCTCCAGCAGCGAGCGGGGAAGCAGGAGGTGGTCGGCGCGTGCTCGCACGCGGCGGCCACACGCGCTGTCCTCCTGGCAGGAGGAAGACGACAGGGGAGGGGGACAGGTGGGCTGGGCTGCTGCTGGGCTGCATAGTGCTGGGCCAGCACAGGAGCTGGCCCGCAGGTAAGCACAGGTGGGTTTTTACCATTTCTGTTTCTTTTCTATTTATCTGCCATTTGTTTTGATTTGATAAAAATACCAAATCATTTTATTTAATTCTGACAATTTTTGCAGGGGCCTAAGGGATTATTCCAAAGCCCCTCACCAAAATTCAGAATTATTGGACAATATTATATATATATATATATAAATGTTTATCCTACGCAAATAATTACTGGATTAATTCCAAATGGCCAAAATAAATATTTATGAGCCCCTAAAAATATTGGTTTGAATTTTACCTCTGCCCAATATTTTCAGATAGAGACATGAACATTTTCTTGAACCTTTTTGGAGAAATTTTTATCTGGATTATTTCCAGAAATGATTCTGAGGGTTTCACAAATCCCCATTTCAAATTTAAATGGAATTTAAACATGATGCACAAATGGCTAGCTGGTCTAGGTCATACCAGAACTAGGGATGTGACAACTAATTTTCTCCTTTCCCACCATAGATACCAAGCTGAAATGGCTATCATTTCTTGTACATTTTGGTACCTCATAATACTCAAATCTTGGTCAGGAAGAAGTAGAAGGTATTCCAATATCGCCTCCCCAGCACGGTCAACCTCACAAGCTTTATCAATAATCTCATCCATCCCTAGTTTCTTCCAAACCTCCTTTGCTTTACTACAGAGGAAAAGCATGTGTTTTGTATCTTCTAAACCTTGAGAGCAATTAGGACAAAAGGGCGAGACCTTCATGTGTGTGTTAGCGAGTGTTACCCGGCATGGGAGGGTGCCAGGTAATGTATGCCATATAATTTTTTTACTTTTGCCGGACAAGATAACTTCCAAATTTGACACCATATAGGATTATGTGTGATTCGCCCCATCCCATTAGCATATTTTAGTTTACTCACATACTGATAATTCCACTCCACAAAGTAAGCAGATCGTACCGAGAACATACCATTTTTCGTATAACTCCAGGCAATGAAATTTGTCATATCATGTTGCGAAAGTGGGATTGAAAGAATCCCGTTGTGCGTCAACGAGCCACGTAGTTTGTCTAATCAGGTCCTCATCCCAATTATTGGAGACATGATCAATCGGATCATCCACTTTTGATAACAATTGTCCCCCCATGGGTCATAATCTTCCTAGTGGCACAGTTTGGGATCCAAACATCTTCCCAAATATTGATATTGTGTCCATTTCCCACTCGCCAAATGTAGCCACGTTTCAGGGTATTTATGCCTGCCATAATGCTTTGCCATGTGAAGGAAGCGCCGTGCTTTGGCCTGGACTTCATCAAATCGCCATCAGGATAGTACTTGGCTCTCAGAATAGTAGCACACAAGGAATCAGGATTATCAATGAGACGTCATGCCTGTTTGGCGAGCAAAGCCATGTTGAAACAGTGGATATCACGGAAACCCATTCCTCCTTGATTTTTTTGGTACGCACATTTTCCACCAGGCCATCCAGTGCATCCTTCTCTGGTTCTCCTCGTCTCCCCACCAAAAATGTGCAATCGCGTCAATGATTCATTTACAATTTTCTTTAGGAATTTTAAAGACCGACATTGCATAGGTAGGTATGGCTTGGATCACAGCCTTGAGAAGGATCTCCTTTCCCCCGGCAGACAGTAATTTTTCCTTCCAACCACTATTTTTCTTAACAATTCGTTCAATCAAAAAATTAAAACAGTCTGTTTTATCAACACCCACATTTGCTGGCAAGCCCAAGTATTTGTCACTCATTGCCTCTGTCATTATATTCAACGTTGTACACATTTGTTCTCTTATCTCTACCGTTGTATTAGGACTAAAGAAAATGCTTGACTTTTCCATGCTTACCAGTTGTCCTGACGCCGCACAATATAAATCTAATGCTGATTTCAGGGCCGCCACATTATGTTGGTTGGCTTTCATCAATATCAATGAATCATCCGCAAAGAGAAGATTTGTGACTGGCGGGGTGTCTCTACAGACTTTAACTCCTGATATGTTCCCGTTGTCCTCAGCATGCGCTAGCAAGGCATTCAACCCCTCTGTGCATAGCAGAAAGAGGTATGGTGGTAGCGGATCACCCTGCCTCAACCCTCTAGTAGGCTTGAAACTCTCACTTTCCTCTGCACTGATCCTTACTCTATAATCGACAGTTGAGACACATTGCATAATCGAATTCACCCATTCTCGATGAAAACCCAATCTCAACATAATCTCCTCCAAAAACGCCACTCAACTCTATCGTATGCTTTTTGCATATCAAGTTTTATAGCACACAAGCCCTCTCTCCCTTCTCTTTTGTTCTTGATTGTGTGAAAACATTCATAGGCCACTAAATTATTATCCGTTATCAATCTACCCGGTACAAATGCACTCTGTGTGGGACTAATAATTTCTGGTAAAAAGACCTTCAATGGAGTAGCCACCATTTTCGCAATTATTTTGTATACCACATTACATAAACTAATCGGTCTAAATGTTACCTTTTCTGGTGTATTAATCTTAGGAATCATCACGATTGTCGTATCGTTCCAACCGTTCGGGATAGTACATGTGTTGATTGCTTTCATAACCTCCTCAATTAGGTCCTCCCCCAGCATTGGCCAGAACCTTTTGTAGAAAATAGCATGAAGCCCATCTGATCCTGGAGCTTTTAAGTCCCCAATATCGAATAAAGCCTTGCGAACATCTTCCGCGGTATAAGGGGCAAGTAGAGCATTATTCATTTCATTTGACACTCTCCTATGGACAAGTGATAAAACTTCTTGGTTCGGATGCTGAACTTCCAATGTGAAAAGGTTTGAATAACATTCGGTGATGTGATCCTTCAACTCCTTTTCTTTTATCCAGTTTCCAGACTCATCTAAGAGTTTCATTATATTATTTCTTTTTTTCCAGGTCGTGGCAGCATTGTGAAAGAATGCCGTATTGCGATCCCCGTGCATCAACCGGTTCGCCCGTCCTCTTTATAACCAGAAAATTTCCTCTTGATCCAAAATGTTTTTAATTAGCACAATAATTTCCTTCTGACGACATCGAGATTCCGTATTCAGTGGGCCATGCCTTAATCTTTCCAATTCCTTTTTTAATTTCCTAATTCTTACCTTCGGTCCCTTTAGAATTTCCCGATCCCAAGTATGCAAACCGGCATGCACTGCTCTCGTACGATCAGCAAGTGAAGGTCCAATACCTGCAAGCTTAGCTTTCTCCCAAGATGCCTTAACAATTTCAGTGACTGTCTTTTCCCTCAACCACCTCGCCTCAAATTGTTTAACGCGCCCCTCTGGTCGATTAAACACCTTTTCATCCAAATAATCCATGTCCAGTACAATTGGGCGGTGGTCAGAATGAACATGTTCTTCGTTGATCACTGCCGCTCGTGGGAATTTATTTTCCCACGCTAAATTACAGACCGCCCGATCAAGACGCTCACATATTTCGCCTCTCCTCCAAGTGAAAAGGTCACCGGTATAGCCCAGGTCGTCGAGTCCACAATCCATAAATCTCTCATCATACCAAGTGGTCTTGCCATACCGCCCTCTTTTTCCAAAGGATATAAAATTTCATTAAAATCCCCCAAAACTACCCAGGGGTGGTTACCCTTACTATGTAGATTGCGAATATCATTCCAAGATAGATGACTTTCATTCCATTTCGGGTGACCATAAAAACCGGTGAAACGCCATTGAACCACATCCTCATACATAAACACAATATCAATAAAATGGGGTGAAACATAGTTCAACTCAATTTTATTTGACTTATGATAAAACAAAACGAGGCCACCGGCCTTACCATCACTTTCCACTAGAAACATAGAATCAAAATCTAAAATGCGACAAGCTCATCGGCTTTACAATTATTCAAATGAGATTCAGAAAGGAATATAAATATGCCCTTGTACGCTCCTGTAGATCCAGGAGTTCACGAAATGTCATGTTGGAGAGCATACCACGACAGTTCCATCCTAGGATTTTCATTTGGCCGGGCGGTCCTCCTCCTCGGAGGCTGCCGATGTGCCATTCTCGTCTTTCTCTTCGCCAACCGATTCCACACCTTGCGGAATATACTCTTCCTCCTTCTCGTCAGTCTCCTTTGCAACATGTGTAACCCCACCCTCCTCGTCCTGGACTACTTCAACTCTGCCAATGCACACCCGCTTGGAAGAGGCGGTTACATCGCCATATAATATGCGCTCATAGCTATCCATTTCTTTCTCAAAAGAGAACTCTAACTCACTACCCATCGGACGAACGCCAAATGAATGTCCCCTTTTTTTCCTATGACTTGCTTGCGAGCATTCTCATCTCTATTTTGCCCCCCTTTCTTTTTATCTTTCTTTTTGTAGTTACCCTGCGTATGATTCTTAGCTGCACTGAATTTAAAGCATACAGTATTGTTCTCTATCCCACCACCTGTTTTACCAAACCTTGCAGCTACCGCGTTTGTCAACGCATCCAACACCCCCGGTTAGAAGAGCAGGAGGCCCGTATCAGCCCCAGGCGCTGGGGTTTTACTGGACATCCCCAGCGGCTGAGTACCCATGGACTTCTGACTCTCCTGGAGAGCCTGATTCGGAGCAAGTGCAGCACGCAAAAGACCCTCCCGGTCATGTGTTGCACCCTTGGACGAGTCCTCCAAGGACTTGTGGCCCTGGACCCGAGTAGATGGCATGCCCACCTGGTCCACCTGACCAAGTGGCGCACCAGCCGGAGCAGGCGCCAAGACTACCTGAGCCCGACCCTCCTGGCCGGTGGTCGTCTTGGCGGAAGTAGCGCCCCCCTTATCAGAGACCGTGAGGCCACTTACGGCAGTGGCCACCTTGACAACGTCCATGGGCTTGCCGTTGTTGTTGTTGGCGATGCTTGCAGTCGTGTTCTTGTCGCCACAATAGTAGTTCCCGGAGAGTAGACCCCTCCTGCTAGTACCTTGGCTCTTCCAGTAGGGCTCAACACTAAGATTTCTAGGGAAGCAAACTACTCTCTTCTCACTTGGGATTTTACAAAACCTCTCAAGTATGACCCACAATCCCACAACACTCACAGTACAAAGGTAGCTTCTCATACTTTACACCAAACTTAAGAATCTTTGAACTACCTAAAGGGGTAAACTCTACAAAAGTCTTCATAGGTTCATGCAATAAGATCTTCACGCGCACACACAAGTATTTTTCAACAATTACATGGTTGCGGTGCGATACCTCCAGCACCTCTCCCAGTTGATCCTCGAGAGGCCACCCTATACTCTCCGTCTTAAGCACGTACGGAAGATCGCGTACCTGGACCCATATGGTCATGACGCCAAGGTCAACCTCTACCGGGTCACCGTTGCCGTCGAACTCGGCGAAGATGAGCCCATCCCGATTAAAGTGCCAAGGCTGCGCCTTAAGCACGAACCAACGGTCACTCTCAGAGGTGAAATTGAGGATGAACCTCCCGTCATCGCTGTCACCTCTTGGAGGGTGGTCACCCCTTGGTTCTTCCAAGCCGTGTTCCGGAGATCATCGAGGATGGCCCTCGGATTGGCCTGGAAAGGGGAGAGGAGGCGTCCAACCACCAGGAAGCTGCTGATGGCCTTGTGAGCAGCCTCCATGTCAATGACAAGAGGACGGCCCCCATCCCTCGAACCTTCTCCACTCGCTGGTTTCTTCCCCAAAACATCATGCGCGATCTCTCCCTGACCCGCCATGGCACACTTCCCTCGGTCGTGGCAAGAGGTAGAAGGAGCAGAGAGCAGATGGTTGTGCAGTGGCGAGAATGATGAGGGGGGACGACCTCTTCCGCACCCACAAATATAGCAAGTCTGAATCCCCTTCCTCACAGCCTCATGAACGAAATTGATGCTATTAAACACGAGTAAAAGGCCATGAATGAGCCGCTTCCTATTAACTACAGCGAAAAAACTCCCTCTCCCTCAAATGATTCACAAACAGGCAGAGCTGGATCCAGAATCGAGAACACAATCAAATCCTGCTGAATACTCATACTAAAAACTGGAATGGATAAGTTAACTAGCAGAATAGCAAGAAGAGCCTTTGAATCCCGGGCGGAAATCACGCCCATCTCGTCCGAATCATTCCCCTCCCACCTAGCGGGACTCCTGTTTCCTCTCAATCCTATCCTACCATCCTCACAAAGACTCGACGGGATCCCACCTGCCGAAAACTTCGCGATTCCCTTGGAAGATCCCCACTGATTCATGTCCTTACTTTCCAAACTAGAGAGAGAATTTACCAAATAATCAAGATTAAATACCACCTCCTCCTCTGTCCCTAAATTTTTCCCCAAATCATGTCTCACCGTAACAACAATTTCCATAGCAAAATTGGGCCCCGTCGGACCTTCCTCATGTGAGTCAGATGGGATCTCACCTGCCAATTTGCGGCACAAATCCCTCAATCTTCTCCTTGAATGCTCAAGACATCTTTCCCGATTTTTCGCTTTCTTGATTAAACTCGTTGATCTCTCCCGAAGGACCTTCCATTCCTGGCCGCTGAAGACGCCCACGACGAGGCCATCTTCAGGAGGCGGCGCCCCCTTTTCCGGTGGAGCCGTCGTTGATAGAACGGCCATCTAGGCCGCCAGGATCTCCGGCACCGCGAGGTCGCCTGGGCGGCCGCGGGAGCCCCCGAGAGACGGGGTCACGTGTCAGAGGGGGAGGGGTAAAATGCCCTCTGAACTCACCGTCAAAGCCATGTTGCTTGCCACGATAAAGCCTTTACCATCATATCCCAAAAAACTTTATTATTGCTATGTGACTACTTACTTAACTTGCTTAGTATGCATGCTTAAGTTGTTTCCTTTCAAGTTATGTCATGCTTTACTTGGATTATGCTTATATTACCATGGGTCACTTATTATGATATGCACGTGGAGATAATTAAATGGTAGGAAAATGACAATGGTGAGAGGCTGGGTCTTATGCCTTGGTTTTGTTCCACTTGAGTCCCCCCTAGAGTGGGATCTTGTTTATGTTCTATGAATGAGCGCATTAACCATACGTGGGTCCCAATTACCCATAGCTGCAGACTATCCAGGAGCCACAAGCTGGTTTTACATTCGCCACACCACTCATACTTGCATACAAAGGAGACAACCCATAGGGATTTTATTATGTTATATGTCAGGCCATTACGGGATATTCCCTGGTAGTTCGAGACTTGCGGAGTACCCGACAAGTAGCTGTGTAGGGTACTAACTATTGTAGCCCCTGTCGTAGATGATTGGGTCCGTGTTAGAGATACGCCCGACTCTCGATATGGATGTTGAACTGATTGAGTGTCTCCTAGACTAGGACGTAGTGACGGTGAAAGTCATTCATTCAAAATTGTCTTGCTCAACATGTCATGGGGAACAACGACTGTTGTCCTCGAGCAAGCTTTGTCGTGTCGTCTCGAAGTTTCGGTAATAGCTCAATGGATGGGTGTAATGGGTAGATTCCAGTTGGGAACAATGTGCATATGGAGCCTATAATGGGTACGTTGGTGCACCCCTGCAGAGTTAAATCTTTCGGAAATTCATGTCCGCCCTTATGGACGACTTGGAACTTGACTAATAGTTCCTAAAACAACTTCAACCAACGTGAGAGTGCCTTGACTATCTTTTATTCATGGGTTATACGAAGAGGAGGACAAAGTAGTGCTCTTTTTGCGTAGAAAGGTGAGTAGGTTCTTAGTTCAGGAGTTACCTGTTGTTTGGATTACGCTTATCTTAATCTAATAGATGCAAGTTGTAGTGTGATTTTTAGGGCTTGCAGCTTCACCACTCCATTCTCTACCTAATTATAGTGTTAGTGCTAGTACCCCTAGTAATGAGATTTGCCGAGTACCTTTGTACTCAACCTTGCCACAACAAATAGTTACATGTGTGGTGATGGACAACATTAGCTTGGTAGTCCTTCAGACAGCGGTCTGGGCAAGGATATGGATGTCATTTGCCTTACTTTGAGCCTTCTTAACACAACGTGTATTCTTAACTGTTTAAGTTTTTTTTGCTTCCGTTGTATGAGTTGGATTTTAGTCATAAGACCATGTACGTAAGACTCTGGAACCGACATAGGGGTCCTCGACCCGCCCACTAGACCAAGACACGACATGGTAAGAGACCTTTTAGCTAGGCCACCATCATCGTCAAAGATAACAGTTCACTAGTTTGGGTCTCTATCCGTCGTTGATGGCTCATCATACATCTCTCCCTTGCTCTTGCGTCGCTGTTTAACATCCGACACCATTTTTGCTTTATCATGTTGCTTATCAACCACTCTCTCCCTGTAATGGCACTACAACCCTCTCTCCTCTTCTATGCGAGGCATGGTAATTGTAACTGGGTTGTAACCCTAGCAGTTTGTGGCGTGCTTTACCTACTTTCCCTCTTACTAAGTTGTAAACCCTAGAAATGGATCCCCAAATTCTTTCTGAAAGTCTGAATAGAAGTGTCGAATTCAATCTTGAGTAGCCCTGACACCGGCTTTCAAGCGCTTGGGCCTCCGCCGCATGCCGCACTACATTCCTTCCTGAGCACGCCGCAATCCAGATCAGATTTGACTCCTACGCACCCATCGGTTGGTCTCACTAAAAATTTCAGACAAAAACATGCCGCCCGTCGCACGATCAATCCTACTCCAAGTCGCTCCAGCCCCGTTGACCCATCGTACCAAGCTTCAATTTGGCGGCAACCCTGACTCATTAGTAATCGATCCTCGATTCTGCTCCACCTCTAGATCAACTCCTTCGCGACCTCCAGACCTACCTTATGCTCATGATATCACTTGTTATATTAATTCGAAGTGTATTGTCGATTCACCGAGGACCAAGCAATCACACGAGACATGACATCAAGATTTGTTAACGAGGTTCACCAACATGGCTACATCTCAGAGGCCACCGCTACAAAACCGGCGACCCGGGCCTTGCACACGCCACTGGCTTTCCATGCATGTCTGTGCTCTCTTGACATACATTACATGGTGTGTCTATCCCTACATTATATAAGAGGTCCGGAATACAAGTGTTCTACTCGAACACAACTCGTACCCTGTGTACACACAGTACAACTCTAAGTTCAACATATTCAACACACTTCCAACAACCAGAAAACATAACCACGGAATGAACGGGGTTTCATTCATAACTGAAACACACGAGGCATTTGTAGGTCACACACAGTCTAACTTATTCACAGAGCAAGACATATGAAAACGATCTATACCATTGCCACAACCCCCAATTGTGGTCTCATCCTGACAAAATAATGAAAATGCGAGCTAAGAAAGAAACTTCAGAGCTTGAAGCATCCGGTCAGCTCTTTGCTGAAACTGAGACCGAGCTCTCGAAGGCAGACCCCATGCGGCTGATGACGAACTGGTAGATCTTGCGCTTCAAGCGCTCCACATTGTCCTTGGTCGCATCCTCGTCGGCGATCTTGCCGACTCCGTCCAGCCAGTCGCTGATCCTCTTGAACTGCGACAGGACCACCGTGATATGGCCGCTCTGCTTTCCCCTAGTTGCGATGTTCTGGTCTTCAAACAGGTGGAAGCCCACATCCATGGCCTCGTTCACAAATTTCAGAAACCAGACATGCATCTCGTGGCACAAGGTGTGGGCAAGCTCAACCGTCTCGTTCATGCCCAGAGTTTTAGGCCATGCAGCAGGGAGATGTGATGCCCTGGACTGGACCTTTGCAGAAGCTCCAAGAGATGGCCTCTTGGACAGGCTTGTTCTTGGTGGTTCCACTGCAGGAGGAGCCTTGGGCTTTTCAGTGCTCTTCTTCTGGTAGATGGATCCAGTGGCGCTGTTAACAAGCTTGAGGACCTCCAGTTCGGTTGCTAATGCTGCCTCAACCCAATGAGTGGCTGATTTCTCCCAGAATGCAGCTTCATCTGCTCCGTTGGTGGCCAGTGACTCGGCGATTTTCTTCCACTTCAGAGTGTCTTCATAGACAGCAAGGAAACAATCGACAGTTGGGAGTGGATTCGCGGTCTTCGACAACGAACAAAGTTCAGAGAACTTGCTGTTGATAGAAATCAAAACATTGTTACAATCATCACACTCACACAGACTTTGGTGGAAAAACAAAAACAGACTGCTGCAAGTTACCTCAGATTTCTGATAACTGAATCAGTGATCAATGCCTCCTGCAGAGCGTCAGCTGCAGCGGCTGCTGCTGCATCTCTCCGCTCAGCAGCTTCCTGTAAAATCAATAACAAAACGAAGAAGGCATTAGGAGGATCAATAAATGGATATTGTCTGCAAAAGCAAATGAAATACTCCCTCAGAGGAAGTAGCATACCTTTCCGATCTTCGAAAGTTTATCTGAAACTGCAACCAGTGGAATGCTGCCATCAGTCCATTTAGCATCATGAAGTATGATTTTTGGAGCTGCTGTTTTTGCCTTCCCTGCAGCAGACTCTGTCTTCTTTCGTGGTTTTGGCTTCTCATCAACAGAGGAGTCATCGTTACTCGATAGCTCTGTTGTAGCGTCACTAAGTCGCCGTGACATTGCTTCCTGAAGTTACAGAAGAAGGTCAGTTGTCATTGCTCAGGCACATGAATTCCAATTGCATGTAAACCTAAGCAATTCAGAATAAAGCAGTGCATATAATAAGATATGCCCATTGCACAATGCTCTTGATTCACACATACACTAGAATTAACTGTAGACAAAGAACCGGAATTAACTGTAGACTAAGAACTCTATACAATAGATGCACAGCATCAATACTTTTCCCGTTCGCCTACAACATTATTATCAATGAGGCTATGCAATGTACAAGCACATGAAAATATCATAGCCAAATAGTTTGATTCATTTTCTGACAACGAAACTGAAATAGTCAGAACTAACCAAGTGGCTAGCAATCCAGTACTCCTACACTATTGAGGACATTACAAGTGGCTAGCACTACAAGATTTTGGAACATAACAATATTATTTACAGGTTAATTCTAGTTTAACATGCTCTATATTTAAACAATTGAGCATGCTGCTACTGTTGCAGCTGTACAGCTAAAAAAAGGAAATACATCTCTTTCACATCCCCACTTGGTCTCATGGATGAGCATGATCAATTAACAGTACATATACTAGTGGCAGATACCTACACAGCAATTACGCTTAATTCCAACATCCGAAATTTCCAAATGCAACACAATGTACTAGCAATTAATATGATCCTTACCTGAGTCCTCAGAATAGTATCTCTGTCCACCTTGACCTTGGACTTCTTCACCGTGCCAGCGGCCGCAGCTGCAAGAGCCATTGCCGACTCGTCCCAGCTCTTCCTCCCCGGCTTCATGGCCGACCCGCTCCCCAAATCTGTCATCTTCGAGATACCAGAAACCAACACCCCGACCTTCTTCTTGCTGCCCCCTTCTCCCGAAAGCCTCCGGGAACCGGGTGAGAGGGAGCCCCGCCTGCCACCGCCTCCTGGAGAGGCCGCTCCCCTTCTCCCTCCTGGTGAAGGCTGCCTGTACCTCGATGGCACGATAATGGCTGGCTCCTTTGCGACCCTGCGGTTCTCCTCCTTGGCCGCAACAAGGCTGGGAACCACACACTTCGACGGGGCCGGCGACGACGACCTGGACGTGCCTCTCACGGCAGGTGACGACGCTCTGGAGGCGCCCTTGACAGAGGGAGACGCCGCCCGGGACGCTCCCTTCACCGCAGGCGACGGATCTCGCTGCTTGGCCGGCGCCGGAGACGAGAACCGCCGCTTCGCGGCCGAACCGCCTGGCAGCGCCGCGGCCTCTGGGCCGTTCCTGGGAGCAAGAACGGTCCTTTTGACGGCAACATCCATCGCATCAGACGGTGGCGCACCGCCGGAGCCGGACGGCATGAGCGGTGGTGCAGCGTCGGGGGAGGAATCGGGCCTGATGACGTAGCCCCGGGAGCACGCCGCGGAGCGGACGATGAGCGGCTCAGGGTTGCCGACGCAGGGGAGGGAGCGGGAGGACGGAACAGGGCGGAGGCCGACGGCGCGCGGGACCGGGCTGGCGAAGCGGAGGCGGTCGAGGTGGACCAGGTGGCCGACGATGTGTGGGCGCGCGGAGAGGAGCGCGTCGGCGTCGGCGGGGGAGGGCTGGACGTAGGTGGAGTGGAGGCCGTCGGAGAGCTGGAGGAGGAAGCCCTTGGAAGGGCAGAGCAGGGAGTCGGCGGTGGAGGCCGTGAGCGCAGGCACGACCGCCGTGACCTGGAGCGCGGGGG